TTTTTTTTAATATTTTGCTTTCTTATCATCCTTTAGTTCTGTTCATCTCCTGGGCAAAGAAATTGGCAGGAGGAAGCATGGGTAGATGAGAAGTGAACAAATTCCTTTATATGCCGTTTTATTTTTGAATGAAAAAATTGATGAAAATTTGTAATCTACAATATACATCTTAGAACAAGGTGCTGGGTAAAATTTGAAAATTCAAGACTTCTTATAGTTTGACATTGAGTCTTGCCTATCTGGAGTAACTTTCATTTTAAGTCTGCAGGAAGCTGGAGAGATGGTTGAGACTAAAAATAAGATGAGATGATCATGAGGATGAATATCCTCGGAGCTTTTTATCATCATTGCCATTATTCCCTCCAGAGCTGCATGATTGAAAAGTGAACGTAAGCCACTAGTCGGTCTATGCTAAATTTATTGGAGCATACTATGTCAAAATTTACCTTCTAATTTCTTGAATATGATTACCACTGATGTCAACTGACTTGGACTCTTGCATTCGTGATGACAGACCTGATTTGTCTGTCAGCAGGCTTGATAAACTCTTGCAGAACTGTCCATCATTGTATATATTAGCTCAGAGGATTATCATCATTCAGAAAAGAAAATCAATTTGAAGAACAGATTGTCATGCCTCTTTGTATATTGTTAGCTCCCCTGCAGATTTTGATATTTCTACGACACAATTTGTTGGAGCAACCTCAATCACCTGGTATTGACACATGAAACAGTGAGTCACTATTGTATCTCATATTGGAGGAAGAGAATAACAATTAATTACCTCAGCTGATAGGTCATAGTACGATCTACTGCATCTAGTCATCTTCTGTGTAGGATGAATTTTCATCTGATATGGTGAAAGGATCCATTAGTTGGACAGACAGATAATACTTGGCAACAGAATCAGGTGTGTTAGCAGTTCATACCTTGAAATTGTTCGTTCGTACAACTGATAGTCTTACACCCATTGCAGCAGCTTCTATTTTCTTTATGGTTTCTTTAACTGTATGCTTGGATCCAAGCCTTGTCTTCTTCTTCTCGTCATCCTACATCATTAAAATGGTTCAGTAAAAAATATATTTGAACATGGGAAGCTAGAATAGGCCTAGACATTTTTTTAACAATTACCTTTTCTTCAAAAAGACCTGATAAATCATGTGACATTGCTATCAATTGAAATGCATTTATGAAACTTGAGGACTTGGCTATCTTGGTTTCTGCATCGTTCTTCTGTATGGACTACAACAAGTTTAGCTGAAAATTTTGAAACTCTCCTATCTTGGTAGTCAATGTCAGTTCGAGCATGTACCTCGACTGAATCAAAGGCAGTGTTATCATCATCCAAGTAGATTTTCTCATCACATATATATCCGCATGAGGGTACATAATCTGTTTGAAACCATGGATCTTCAATGATCTCTGGTATTCTTATCCTCTGTGGTAATATGAGGAGGAATTATTATCTTCTATCTTCTTATTTGAAAATCTATAATTCAAAGAATGTTTTGCAGATTGGCCAAAAAAGGAAAAATGTTTTGCAGTTTTACCCTTTTTGCATGTGGATCAAGCATTCTGAAGATTAGCTTTCTCTGCCCTCTGGTAAACCATGGTGGGAATGTGTACTCAGCTCCAGATATCTTTGCAAAAAGCACAATTATCACAGTCAAGGAAGGGTGGTTTGTTATATTTAAAGCAGGTTACTTTTCTCTCTTTAAAAGCATACCTTCTTATACAAAACCAAAAGATTGCAGTCCTCAAATGGTAAGCGTCCAGCAAGAAGTTGAAAAAGGATAACTCCACAAGACCAAACATCTGCAGCTGCTCCATCATACCGCTTATTTGCCAAAAGCTATTCAGTGGATGATATTCATCATCATCAATGGTTTTGAAGGTATTTATGGTGTCATAACATCTAGTCTAAATTTGTTTCCATTAATAATTTTTCATTTTCCCTCTTTTAATTTCGAAATTGAATTCCTACAAGACTTTCAATTGGACAATTTAGATGGTGACCAATATACTCCAACAGGAAAAATGCCCCTGACCTCAGGTGCCACATAGCATGGAGAGCCACAGGCTGTGGTGAGCATGTCTCCAGGCTGTGAATTAACAGATTTTAAGTCAACCATCCATCGGAATATTCCCTAATTTGAATAGCTGCTGGAAATAGCAAAAGAGTTCCTACCTTTCTCAATGCGCTTAGCCCAAAATCGGAAACTTTCAAATTCCCTTTACCATCCAAAAGCAAGTTTTCTGGCTGTGTAGGAAAATTCCAAAAGCGAAGCTGATTAGTTTAGCTGAACAGCAGTGCTAGGGGCACTCGCCTTTTGCACTCTCCGGCCAACACTACCCTTTTCATTGGACCACATAAGCTTGTTCCGGCCTTTGCAGTGCAACCTCTTACTAACCAGAATAACGAGGCCAAATAAAAGTGAAAGTGTTGGCCGGAAAGTGCAGGAGGCGAGTGCCCCTAGCACTCCTCTTACCTGAATTGTCAATAAAGCATTAGTGAATAGAGCGACAGAGAATGCTATTACTCACCTTTAGATCTCTATGATAAACTCCTCTGGCATGGCAATAGTCTATTGCATCTATCAATTGCTGGAAAAGTTTTCTTGCCTCTTGTTCATTTAATTTTTTTACATAAGACTGCATGGGAAGGTTAGATACTATTAGAGATGTCAGTTAAGGAGCTTGCCACAAATTTCTTTTGGATCCCATGGATAGTATAATGATTGATTCTCACCAATTTGTTTGAAAGTTGTCCGCCAGGCACATATTCCATTACTATGTATATTTTTGTCTTTGAGCCAATCACCTGCAGGTGATTTGGTTAAGCAGTGAAAGTTGATAAGAGCATAAACTAGGGCCACTAGAATAATTTTGATGATATACCTCATGTATTCTAACAATATTGGGGTGATGCAGTAGTGTCATTGTTCTTATCTCTCTCTGTACCTGCAATTTGAATTTTGAATCCCTCCCTTTGTCAGGAAGAAGCCCAATTCGTTTCCTGAAGATGAAAAGCCAAAAGAACAGAAATATACAATAATCCATGTACAATAGAAGGGTAGGAGACTCACCTGATACTTGAGATTGCTTTCCATGACCATCTGCTTATCAATGATCTTGATCGCAACATTTTGGCCATTGGTGGTGTCAACGGCAAGCTTAACCTTGGCAAAAGTTCCCTCTCCAATCATTCCGGTAAGTTGATACTTTCCTATTCTGTTTGCACATCCCATTCTTTGTCATGAAAGGATACCAATCTTGTTGTCCTTGATCTTCGTCTTCCCCAGTTGATTTTCAAAAAAAAAAAAAAAAACCAACAACTATTTGTGTTCCTTGAATCCTCTCTGTTTCAAATCTTTCTCGAAAATGGATCCAACTCTATTTATTTTTGAGGATAACTCATGCTTCTTCCTTGCAACTGCCATCCCTGTGTTATAATGCCATCCGGAAGGAAAGTAGGATTTTATATACGAGGCATTTCATTGATAAGTTCTGCCAACATTTTTTTTTAATGGTTAAGACGTAGTCTTGTGCAAGTCATATTTTTGCGTAGAATGGGAGATGCGTCATGGCTATATGGGCTAGTTGGTGGAGCAGGAAATGTTTTGAATGGAAGTTGGCACGACAAAATTTAGTAAATAGTTTATTTACTTTCAAGTTTTTAACTAGTTGGTACATTAATTTTTATGTACTTTAAACTATATAATACTGTCCATTTGATATAGATGAACCCCTTAATATTAAAGTTTTTTTTTATTTAATTATTTATATTTTATAATTTGATATAATTTAAATTGTAAATTAAAAAATATATATATAAAAATTATTATGTTATTCAAACAGTAAACGAGTACAGTATAAATACATGCCACTGAGCCAAAAAAAGATGATGTAGTTGCCAAATTCACCACTTTTATATAGGTTATTTATTTTGAGAGATCAATAGAGTTGCATTAGGACTTGACTAGCTGCGTTTTGTTTGTGTCAAGAAGGAAGTTAAAGTTTGAGACGTCATTAAACAAGACAAAATACTTGTAAACCTCAGCAATTAGTGATTCCCCTTTTGTTGTTTTTTTAATATCTCAGCAATGACGTCAGGTAAGATATTTACAGAGGTTCAACTATTTCTTTTTTTAATCTTAAAGTTTACTCTATTATTGCATTCCTTACGTGGCCCGCGTGGTCACGCTGCTCAGCAACAAAGTGGAATGCATCTTTTGATTTTGAGGTCGATTTTTCTCGGTGTAAAACAGATGTTAATTTAATCATATAATTTTTATTGTCAAAAAAAAAAAAGTTTATTCTATTATTATCCACGCAAATCGTGACGTTTCACCTTATATATTTTCTTGTCACTGTATATCAAGTAAAGTTTTCCGCGGAGGAAGAAAATTTGGCATTGGAATGTGATATATTGTACTATAGTCTAGCAAACTGAAGATTATTGGGTCTTCCTTACTTTCTCTATTAAATAAATGCTTTGGATGTTGAAATGAAATGTGGGAATTAAAGATGTAAATGGGGTTAGTTGATGAAATTTGTTCGTGGAGTAGAAACTAACAAATGTGAGTTTTGATTAGCTATCCTGCTTTAATCTATTAGTTCAAAAATAATTATCACCATAACCTTCTACGTTTTTAATTTTATTGCTCAGCACAAATAGATTGAGGTACAGTGAAGGCATATTAATTATTAAAAGTGCGATAAGCAGCATTTTACTTCAAAAATTATAAGAGTAATTAAATAGCTAACTACACACCTGACCTCGATTGGTAATTGGTGTGTGTCTCCAATTCTATAAATTGGGTTCAACGGTTCAACCCCCCTCCCCTATGTCAAAAAATTTCCCTTGTTTAAAAAAAAAAAAAAAGCTAGCTTAATTATGACACAGATTATTGATATTGGGCCTAACAACTCCGAGGTTATCTTCTTCTTCTTTCTTTCTTCTTCTTCTTCTTTTTTTTTTTTTTTTTGACAAGGGTAATAATTAAGAAGTTAGTAGAGTTAGATGTTAGTAACTGGGACTTCCCAGAATGGTGAATATTCCAACCCTCAAATGAGACGCGCGACCATTAGGTTACAAGTTGGTGGAGTTTACGGCGATGGCAGAGTTCAAAACCCTGACCTCCCACCTCACTCAAGCCTTAAGATTTGGAGGCTAATCACTGGACCACAGGCCGGGTTGACCAACTCCGAGGTTATCTTGATAAGTAGAAATTAGTGCTTACCTAAACCTAACTAGTGAGAAGTGACAACCTATATTAATATGACAGTGAACAGAGCATGCTGTTACCTAACAATATTTTGTCAGGTTAGGTAAATTTTTTTACAATTAAAAATAATTGATAATTATATTAATTAAATAAAATAATAACTATTTGTTTTTAATAAAATGAAATTAATTTATAAATTATTATTTTTAAATACTATAACTAAATATAGTAGAATAATTAATTAAAATAAATACTTAA